CAAACTTCTTCTGTTTACCCGATTCATTCTTCTGGGCAACTGACCTCATAATCTTGAAAAATGGTAGGCACTTATCTGCCGACTTCGATATGAACCGATGAAGAGCCGCTACCCTTCCAGTCAACCTCTGTATGTCCTTTACTGACTTCGGCAGTTCCATCTCGGCAATTGCTCTGATCTTCTCTGGGTTGACCTCAATCCCCCTCCGGGAAACCATAAAACCCAAGAATTTTCCAGATTCCACACCAAAGATGCATTTGGCTAGGTTTAACCTCATTCTATTCTGTCTGAGATTGTTGAATGTCTCCCCAAGATCGGTTAAGTGATCGTCAGCTTTCAAACTCTTCACCACTATATCGTCGACATAAACTTCCAGATTTCGTCCTATTTGAGCTCGGAACACGATGGTAACCATCTTCTGGTAAGTGGCGCCTGCATTCTTCAAGTCGAAGGGCATCATTACATAGCAATAGATCTCATCGCCAGCATAGAACGAGGTTTTTTCTTCATCCTCAGAAGCCATTGGGACCTGGTGGTAGCCTGAGTATGCATCTAAGAGACTTAATCTCTCATTCCCCGAAGCTGCCTCAACCAGCTTATCAATGTTTGGCATTGGATAACAGTCCTTTGGACATGCATCGTTGAGGTTAGTGTAATCAATGCACATTCGCCATTTACCGTTTGCTTTTTTCACCAGCACCGGATTGGCGACCCGCTCGCAGTAATCAACCCTTCTGACAAAACCAGCTTGTAGGAGTTTCTCCACTTCTTCTTTAATGACCTGTAACCTCTCTCCCTCGAAAAGGCGTCGCTTCTGGGTTATTGGTTTCTTGAGGGGATTGGTGCTGAGTTTATGTTGAAAAACTGAAGTGGGAATTCTCGGCATGTCTGCTGAAGTCCATGCAAAAACATCTTTATTGGCCCGAAGAAAAGCTATTAGCTCTGCTCTTTCCTCCGGGTTCAATTTAGTCCCAATTTGCGTTTTTCGGCTCGGATCTCTGTCATCAATCTGTACCTCTTCCACATCTGTAATACCCCACAATTTTGGGGTATTTTAGCATTAAATTGGGGACTTATTTGAAGAAAAATATTAGTTTGGGCTTAATTGCAAAATTTTCAAAAGTTGGGGGACCTAAAAAGAAAGGAAATAGGATAAGGATGAGCAGTCTTCCTTTTTCTTTTTATTCTTTCTTCTTTCCTTCTCCATTAGACCCGCGTGCCCTGCTCTTCTTCCTCTCCCCCGACCCTCTGCACTCGACGAACTCCCCAGCCACCGCCACCCATTTTCCGGCCGAAAATCCGGCAAAGCTTAGGGATTTCTCCCTATATCCTTGTTTTAGAACACCTGTTGGACCCAGAAAATCCCGAATCTGCTCT